TCACGTCTTCCCTGTTTAAATTGTTTATTACATAACATGTTCCTAAAATAATCAGGATAAAATTTTGCCTGGTGCTTGCCTCTGTCCTCATCTCTGCTAAATCATCCCCATGGGGTATCCACCTCAGTCATTCCTTAGAGACTCTAAAGTCCTACTTGGAGACCTATGGGCTGAAGGACAGGGAGGGCTTCACTCTCCTTATCAGCAACAAAGATGCCAGGAGGCAGGGTTGAGTCCCATTGGGAAGGGCTTGTGGTGCTTTGTCCAGAGACTGCTGCAGTAACCCCTGATATGTTGCTTAAAGACACTCTTGACTGGCACATGGGTCTCCTAGGCCAGGTGGGGAGCTCTTGGTGGGCCAGGCGATGTCTTCCTCATCTATCTGTGTATCTATCCAGGAGTGGTCAGAATGCAGGAATGCCTGAGGTTGGGGCCATCTGGTCTACAGTTCCACTTCCCAGCAGCCTCCTGGTCGGCTGATTTCCCCAGCACTTGTCCACTCAGAGTTGACTTCCTGCAGTAGGAAAAGAAGACCCAGGAGGCATTGCCCTCTCAGCTAACTGGGCTATTTTATTTTTTATCTCCTTTCTCTCCTTTACTTGGCTATGCGGTGAAAAGAAAGCTTGAGGGTATATATATATATAAAAGATGACATTTCTTGCTATTTATTTGTTTCTTTGTTTTTCTTTCTCCCCAGTTTCTTTGGGGTCTGGGCGGCTTCTAGGGAACTCATTCCTTAGGGGAACTGAGCTTCTCTTAAGAGTGATGGAAGCATTTGGAAATAGGTAATGGTGGTGATGATTGAACAACATGATATATGGGATCAGCGTCACTGAATTATACATGTAAAAAAATGTTCCATGGTAAAAGGTTTATAGTATACAGGTATTCAACACAATGCACAATGTTTATGCATGGGCATAAAAAAAAAAAAAAAAAAAGTACCAGAAGAAAGACTCAGAAAATGATCCCAAGGAGTGAAAAAATCTCAAAAAAATAATAACTGTCTGGTACACAGAGCAGTAAGATCAAAATCAGATTACTTAATAAAAGCCAGCGTTTCTTTAAATGGAAAACAATGCATGTCATTTGTCCTTGAAATGCGACACACTCTCCTTTTTCAAGAATGCCACAGTATTCCAAAGCAGCAGCCGACACCTGCCAAAGCCCCATCACCCTCGAGTTCTACGGGTCATTGTTGTTGTACAATATGGGGAGGCTTGATTGAATGGATGTTACAGAACCTAACAGTCACTTGGAATAGAAAAATCCCAGAAAATAAATCTACACAGGGAGAGACAGCCTTTGAATTAAGCAAGGACCCACCTGTTCAATAATGAAATAATTGCTCAGAGCACATTCTTCTGTAATCTTTTCTAATGTGACAACACATTCTTGTGCCTGCCTCTCCCAACACTTCTTCCACATTTGCAGGCAATCTCCTTGCCTCCTAAAGATGCCAGTGCCTAAGTCAGACAGTCACTTCACTAATGCCACGAAAATAGATTCAATTTTACATACATCAGGGTGATTTCAGAAGCAATTTCTACATCTCCAGTGTAAGCATTACTTATATATCTTTTCCCTTCAAATCCCATCCCAGTGGTGCCACAGGGCATTTTAAAAGGCACCTGATACATTTGTAGGGCATTCAAAAGCATCCCCAGAGTGTGGTTTTCATTGACGCCTGAGGACACGAAATGTACAGAGAAAGCTCTTGATAAAATGTCATTGATTCAAATCAATGCAAAACTTCGGAATAATTGCGTATAATAAGTTAATGGATATTTTGATTTCTGTCTTTTCAGAGTATCCATAAAACTAGTCCATCTATTCATACGTGTGTATATATGCCTGTGGGTGTACATATATTGGTGTGTGTACATTACCTGTTGCTGTTAAGTGCCATCGAGTCAGTTCTGACCCATAGCGACCCTGTATAGGGTTTCTGAGGAGCAGCTGGTGAGCTTGAACCACCAAACTTGCAGTTCGAATGGCTTTGCAGTCTGGCACATTAACCCACAGCGCCACAAATAGATAGAGTGCTACACATGCATATCAATCATATTAGATGTGATTGGGTGTACTTCCTCTTCCTTCTTGCTGACCAATCTACCTTGGTCTTAGAAGCTTTCATCTTCATGGTCTGAGTTTGGCGCATGGAAAAAGAAGAGTGCTGCTTTACCCGTCACAGACTTGAGACCAAATACTGACCATTTGGGGGTCATGTTGAGTCTCATGCATCTCTGACCATAATCTTTTTTGTATTCAGAGTCATTTGTTTGCACAAGTGTTCTTGGGTGGTCCGTATCCGAAAGACTTTGGATACTTTGGGGCCACTTACCTAGAGTTGCAAAGGAACTAAACCCTCCCCTACCTTGGGCCATGAGCAGCAGAACCAGTGACAAGTTAGAACATCAGAACTCAGTTAATTCAAGAGAATTCCTTTCTCTAAGGAGAAGCCAAGTCCCTTGCCTGGACAACCTCTTCTATGTTCCTCTTGGGTTATGCCAGTATCTCTCCTGTTGTTGGAGTTAAGTGCTCTCCTACATCCTGGGGAATTCAGGAAGCCTAAAAATTTACCTGGGCAGTGAATGCATAAAGCACCAGCTTCATGGTTAGGCAGATGGTAAGCTTGCTCGGCTCTCTGAGAAAAACGAACATTAAATATTTGCTCATAAAATAATCAGTATGTGCTTTTCGGCTTTGTCTTTTCAAATCATTACCCAACCTGAAGAAATGCTCACACGTAGCATCACCAATAATAGGCAAAGTCATATCATGTGTCTATTGCTACTGGGCAAAGCAAAGCATACCACATCACTTATTATGTGGTGTTCTTTGCCACAATGTTTAGTCTGAAAGTAATGATACGGAAATACATCAGATAAATCCAAACTGTGATCTAGTCTACAGGATAACTGGCTTAGACGGTAAAGAAAACATCAGTAGCCCAAAAGACAACATAAAGGGTGGACGCTTATTCTAGATTTAATGAGATTAAGAGAGACAAGATGAGCAAATACATTGGGAGAACCGTGATTGAATCCCACATTTAAAAAGCAAACAATAAGGCGTATTTGGGAGGTCATTGAGGAATTTCAACTATGAACTAACATTGTTGTTGTCATTAGGTGCTGTCAAGTTGGTTCCAACGCATAGTGACCCTATCATTAAAACAAGGTTACATTTCTTGGGAGAGATCATTTTACTATGCTTGTGCAGAAGAGCCATCCTAGTTCTTTGGAAATGCATGCTGAAGTCAGTCTACGGAGGGGTAATGGCATAATGTCTGCAACTTACTTTTAAATAGATTCAGAAAAAATAGTATATGAGTACTCACATGGAAAGAAAGTGCAAATGTGGCAAAATGTTAACAATTGGTGAATCTTGGTACAGGGTATATGGGTTTTCATTTTACTCTTCTTCAGCTTTTCTGTAGGTTTAAAATGAATCTCTTTTCTCCAATGCAACACATCAATATTTAAAAACAGCTATTGCCTCTCTCAAAGTTTGTCTTTTGAACCAGGATGCCCAGGAGACCCTTCTGAGTTGCTTTGACAAAATCCACATCTCTGAGCCCTGACCCACCCCTCATGGAAAAGGAGATTTTGATTTAGAAGGCAAGGGCTCAGGGCCAGCTATGTGTATTTTGTAAACCTCTCCAGGTAGATTTGGTGATATAAGTGAGGTTATTCTGTGATCCATGATCCATCAGCGGTGTGGCTCTGAAAAGGTTAGTCAGACTCACAGAGCCTTAAATTGTAGTCAACTTTGTTGTTGTTAGTGGCTGTCAAGTTGAATGGAAACTCATGGCAACCCCATGTGTACAGGGGATGTTTTAGCTGTAAAATGGGAACTAAGACGCTCACAGGCTGTGCTGAGGACAGCATGAGAGACAGAACCTGCAGCAGAGAACTGCAACCTAAACCGCACCCACAGCAATCAAGTTGATTCCAACTCAAATCAGCTCTACATGGGGTTTCCGAGACTGTAAATCTTTACGGGAGCAGAAAATCTCATCTTCCTTCTGCAGAAAGGTTCGTGGGTTTGAATTACTGAAGTAGCAGTTAGTCCAGTGCTATCCTACAGAGCCACCAGGGCTCTTTGCAGCATAAGAGGTGGTCAGTAAGTATTGGTCTCCTTCCTTCCTTCTCTCATAGATCTACATCATGCCACGTTTATCATCGGCAAAGTAATTTTTACCCCATGTGTTGTTTTCCATTTTGAAATTTACCGTGTGTGAAGGAAATCTGTCTATACTTTGATTTACTGCATTTGCCAATATTTGGAGCAGAGGCTAGGGAATCTGATCTTGCTGTTAAATCCAGAGAAAGAAATGGATCACAGTATGACTCTACTAGCTCTCTTGAGACTTATCACTAAGGTAGCCTAAAATATCGGCTGGGGGGTTCTTATTTGATGGAAGATTACCCCTGAAATGTTAACTTACACTAGCCTGGGATCCTGTATTAATGCTGCATGGAATCTCAGGGCCCTTGACTAAGTTCCATCTGAAACATTGACTATGTCTGGGAACTGGCTAAGGTACAGGTTCCAGGTCTTATCAGCCATGATATTTTGGAGAAATTGCTTCTTTGAGCCTCAGTTTCCTAAGCATTAGAAGTGGAGAGAGTAACAATCCATGATTCACCTACTTTATGTGACTTATAGGAAGCATTGCTTTGGGAACTTTAAGGAAATCATCAATAGGGTATATTGTAACTTTATAGAAACAGCTGTATTCTCCTCCTTCCCTTCTTCATTATTATTTGTACACTGTCTCTATGCATGTCCATGAGAAGTTAAGATGACCAGCCCCCATGTCTTTGAGAGAACCTTCATCCTGGATCATTCCAGGGAAGCATCCTGAACCCGTGCCCTGTAGCCCCTGATCATTGTGTGGAGGCGGGGGGGGAGGGGCACAGAAGAGATACCAGGATGAAAATCAAGGCAGCTGGACTACAGATGTCCAGCTCCCCTTGGATAACTCAACTTACTGAATCCATTCACATCCTGAGCGCTAGAGGAGAAGCCTTCATCGTTGCGGTTGGCGCTGAGCTTGGAGGTGGGTTTGTCGGTCGAGGCCACAGGCCCCATCTCTCTCTGGGCTCCACTCTGTGTCTCCTTCTGCTTCTTGGCCAGCTTCCTTTGGGACATGTGCAAGGGGAGAAATCACAGTCAGATGGTTCCAGTTGTATCAAAGCACTGGGGAGATCAGATTGTTCTTCTTTCCCATCCCTCATCCTCAACCTCCAAACCTCATTTCTTCCCCCAGAAACAGACTCAAGATGGGTCCTCCAAGATCAGGGTGGATTAAAGGTAAGTTCTCCTGAAACTATGAATGGTTTCTGTTTACTCAGAAGCATAAGACTTATCCTGCCTCATCCCTGACAGAGTGCATGTTCTATACTTAAGCTTATAACAGGAAACTAGGAGACTTGCATGAAGCTACCCTCATTCTCTTTTCAAAAGGAGTGAGAGGGTAGGTTACTCTTTCTGTTCCTGTAGTTCTAAATGACATGAAAAATATTTATCTTCTAATCTCATGATATGAACCCACCAAACAATGACAATTTCAAGTAGAGGCTAGTGGTCAGTAGTGGGTGAGAATGGAGGTTAGTCTTGGAACTCATCAGGAGAAAAGTTAGCCTGACTTTGATGTATACATGTGTTAGAGAAACTCAGAATTGGATGGTCATTTACAATAGTGCAGGAAAAAGTTGTCAAACTTTGGAGTCAATTAGAATCACCAGGAGACCTGAGCTCGCCTTTTGAGGCCTGGCCTCACTGAAGTTGGATACAGTCTGGACCTTGGTATGTGCACATTCCCCAGTTGATTCTGATACTAAATGGTTATGGTTATGTGCTGTTGAGTCGGTTCCAACTCATAGTGACTCTGTACAGGGTTTCTGAGGCTGTAAATCTTTATGGGAGCAGAAAGCCTCATCTTTCTACCATGGAATGACTGGTAGTTTCAAACTGCTGGCCTTGAGGTTAGCAGTCTGACTTGTAACCACTATGCTACCAGAGCTCCTTGTATCTTTTGTTAGGGATATGAAAATATGACTATAAAATATAATATGACTATAAAATGCCAGGAGCTCTGGTAGCATAGTGGTTATGAATTGGGCTGTGAACCGCAAGGTCAGCAGTTTGAAACTACCTGCTGCTCCGTGGGAGAAAGATGAGGCTTTCTGCTCTTGTAAAGATTTACAGCCTCGGAAACCCTGTTCAGGGTCGCTATGGGTCAGAACCGACTCAACGGCACTTAACAACAACAAACATATGACAGCTAAACAAATATTTCTAAAAAGCCAACATAGTCCCTCTGAGTTTTCTCAACATTTAGTCATCTAAGTATAATTAGTATATTCCTAATATACAAAACTACCACTCATCTGTCAGTTTGTCATACTGTGGTGGCATGTGAGTTACTGTGGTTCTGGAAGCTATGCCACCAGTATTTTAAATACCAACAGGGTCCCCCATGGTGGACAGGCTTTAGATAAGCTTCCACATGAAGACAGACTAGGAAGAAGGAATGACAAACTACTTCCGAATATTTAGTCACTGAAAACCTTATGAATAATAGAGAAATCCTATCAGATATAGTGCTGGAAATGAGCTCCTCAGGTTGAAAGGAACTTAAAATGTGACTGGGGAAGAGCTGCCTCCTCAAAGTAGAGTTGACCATGATGACGCAAATGGAGTAAAGCCTGTGGGAGAAAAGCCTGCAGGGCCTTCATTTGCTGATGGGGCACAACTCAAAATGAAAAGAAACAGCTGTAAGCATCCATTAATAATCAGAACATGGAACGTACGAAGTATGAATCTGGGAAAATTGGAAGCTGTCAAAAATGAAATGGAACACATAAACATGAATATCTTAGGCATTAGTGAGCTGAAATGGACCTGTATTGGCCATTTTGAATCTGATGACCACATGGGTTACTATGCCGGAAATGACAAATTGAAGAGGAATTGCATTCATTGTCAAAAAGCACATATCCAGATCAGTCATGAGGTACAATGCTGTCTGTGATAGGATAATATCCATGCGCCTACAGGGAAGCCCAGTTAATAGCACTATTATTCAAATTTATGTACCAACCACTAAAGCCAGTGAGGATGAAATAGAAGAATTCTACCAACTTCTTCAATCTGAAATTGATCAAACATGTAATCAAGATGTATTGCTCATTACTGGTGACTGGAATGCAAAGGTTGGGAGCAAAGAAGAAGGATCAGTAGTTGGAAAATATGGCCTTGGTGATAGAAATTATACTAAAGAACACATGATAGAATACTGCAAAACCAATGATTTGTTCATTTCAAATACCTTCTTTAGACAGCATAACAGATGACTATACACATGAACCTCACCAGATGGACTACATAGAAATCAAACTGACTACATCTGTAGAAAGAGACAATGGAAAAGCTCCATATCATCAGTGAAAACAAGGCCAGAGACAGACTGTGGAGCAGATCATCAATTACTCATATGCAAATTCAAACTGATGCTGAAGAAAATGAAAAGAAGTCCACGAGAGCCAAAATATGATCTTGAATATATTCCACCTGAATTTAGAGATAATCTGAAGAAAAGATTTGATACATTAAACACTAAAGACCTAAGACCAGAAGAGTTGTGGGATGACATCAAGAACATCATACATGAAGAAGGCAAAAAGTCATTAAGAAGACAAGAAAGAAGGAAAAGGCCAAAATGGATGTCAGAAGAGACACCGAAACTTGCTCTCCAGTGTAGAGATGCTAAAGCAAATGCAAGAAATGAGGAGGTCAAAAGCTGAACAGAAAATTTCAAAGATCAGTTCGAGAAGATAAAGCCAAATGTTACAAACAAATGTGCAAAGATCTGGAATCAGAAAACCAAAAAGGAAGAACACACTCAGCATTTCTCAAGCTGGGGAAATTAAAGAAAAAATTAAAGCCAAAATTTATTTATTGAAAATTTCTCTGGGAAAATTATTGAATGATGCAGAAAGCATCAAGAGAAGATGGAAGGAATACACAGAGTCATTGTACCAAAAGGAAATGGTTAATGTTCAACTGTTTTTAGAGGTTGCATATGATCAAGAGCCAATGATACTGAAGGAGGAAGTCCAAGGTGCATTGAAAGAATTGGCAAAGAACAAGGCACCACACATTGATGGAATAAAAATAGAAATCTTTCAAGAAAGTGAGGCAGCACAGAAGGCACTCACTCATCTCTGCCAAGAAATTTGGATGATGACTATCTGGCCGACTGATTGGAAGAGATACATATTTGTGTCCATTCCAAAGAGAGGGGACCCAATGGAATGTGGAAATCATTGGACAATCTCTTTGATATCCCATGTGAGTAAAGTACTAAAGGTAATACAGAAACGGCTGCAAGCATACGTTGACAGAGAACTTCCAGAGGTTCAAGCCAGATTCAGAAGAGGTCGTGGAATGAGGGATATCATTGCTGATGTCTGATGGATCTTGGCTGAAAGCAGACAGTATCAGAAAGTTGTTTATCTGTGCTTTATTGACTAGGCAAAGACTTTCTATTGTGTGGATCTTGACAGTCTATGGATAACATTGCGAAGTATGAGTATTCTGGAACACTTAACTGTGCTCATGAGGCATCTGTACCTGGACCAAGAGGCAGTTGTTTAAACAGAACATGGGAACACTGAATGGTTTAAAATTTAGAAAGGTGTATGAAAAGGTTGTATTCTTTCACCATACTTATTCAACCTGTATGCTGAGCAAATAATCTGAGAAGTTGGGTTCTATGAAGAAAAACGTGGCATCCGGGTTGGAGGAAGACTTATTAACAACCTGTGATGTGCAGATAATAAATCCTTGCTTGCTGAAAGTGAAGAGGAATTAAAACATTTAATGATGAAGATCAAAGAACATAGCCTTCAGTAAGGATTGCATCTCAATTTAAAGAAAACAAAAATCCTCACCACTGGACCAATAAACAGCATTCTTATCAACGGAGAAAAGATTGAAGTTGTCAAAGACTTCATTCTTCTTAGATCAACTATGAACACTCATGGAAGCAGCAGTCAGTCAAGAAATCAAAGGACATATTGCATTAGGCAAATCTGCTGCACAAGACCTTTTTAAAGTGTTGAAGAGCAAAGATGTCAGCTTGAGGACTAAGGTGCACCTGACCCAAGCCATGGTATTTTCAATAACCTTATATGCATGCAAAAACTGGACAGTGAATAAGGAAGTCTGTAGAAGAACTGATGCATTTGAGTTATGGTGTTGGAGGAGAATACTGAAAGTGCCATGAGCTGCCAAAAGAACCAATAGATCCATTTTGGAAGAAGTGCACGCAGAGTGTTCCTTGGAGGCCAAGATGGCCAAACTTCGTCTCTCATACTTTGGACATATTGTCAGGAGGGACCAGTCACTGGAGAAGGATATCATGTTTGGTAAGGTGGAGGGTCATAGAAAAAAAGGAAGACCCCCAACGAGATGGATTGGTAAGTGGCAGCATCGACGGACTCAAGCGTGGCAACAGTGGTGAGGTTGGCCCAGGATCGGGCAGTGTTTCGTTCTGCTGTGCATAAGGTCTCTATGGCTTGGTACCAACTCGATGGCACCTAACAAGAACAACAAATTATACAAAAGGTAAATGCTTCCTGGTCTCTTGCTTTATTCTTTCCTCACAGAATTTGACTTCAAATTGTATCTTGGTCACTACCACCTGAACACGAAAACAATAGGTATTCCAGAAAAGTCACAGTCAGTGTAATTGTAGGGAATCATTTTCCAAAGTTGACCTCACTTGATTATGGACTAGGCAGTTTCAAGAGACAATGATCTCCCTGTCACAGAAGTTATTTGAAAAAAATAATAAAGCGATGGTCTTAGACATATTAAATATTTCAGAGGATGTATGTTTATTTTGGAGTCCTGGTGTGGTCCTATAGGTAAGCATTACACCGCTAACCACAAGGCCGCTATAAGTTGGAACCGATTCAACAGCACTTAACAGCAACACAGGCTTAGTTTAGCTTCATGGTATTCACCAGGAGACCAGGAGATGGTTAATTGCTAACTGAAACGTTGGCAGTTCAAACCCGCCCAGCAACTCTGCAGGTGAAGAATCTGAAAAAGTCTACAAGGCAGTTTGGC